TAATGACATGCATCATCATATGAAAAAAAAAAAAAATGACCACACAAAATAACCACATAGAGTGACTATAATTGAAATATGCGCTCCACCTCAGCTAATAGTTGGATTGCACATTTATGTTTATATATTATATGCTCAACACGCCACCTCACTGATGTGTGACCTTTGACATGACTCTTATACCAAATTGAAGCATGTGTTTCATCTCAACTAAAAGTCTAAGCTGATAGTTGAATTGCACATTTATATTTATATATTATATGCTCAACAACTATAATTTAAATTATATATTATATGCTCACATTTTAAATTATGTGATTTTTGGCATGGATATATATATATATATATTTTTTAAATATGAAAGTTTTAAAATGTTGTTAATAAGAATTAAAGTTTGATCATTTATAAAGTAATTTAAAGTTTTAACCACTATACTAAAATACTATATAATCAACTTATTAATAAATTTATTACAATAATCAATATTAACATTAGTTTGGTAAACGCCTCTTAAATGTATATATCTTTCTAAATTGATTTTTTTTTTTAATCCTACAGAACATCTTATTGAAGTTTTAAGAAATGGCCTCAACCTAATAGTACAATCACTACAAGAAATATCAAATTTACCTATAAAAAATTTATAGGTAAATTATTAAAATCATAACAGTTTTTTTTTTTTTTTTTTTTTTTTTTGAGTCAATACCACTCCATTAAGGATTGAACTCATGATTTCTTATTTGAGAGAGCCACTTCATGCCACTAGACCACAAGACTACTAAGGATCATGAGTTGATGAAATGCAATCTTCAATAGTCTTGATGTTCACTACAAGAGAACGGGAGAATATCAACAAGTTTAGTAATAGATTAAATATTCACTGTTAAGTTATATAACTGATCGAGAAAATTATCAAAAGATATATTCTTAACTCTTAAGTGTGTACTGCAGATAACACAAGAAAATATGACAGTAATGATGAATTAACCTTTCATCTCTCAGACTTTTATCAGTGTAAAACTTTTCATCTCAGACGAAGGTTTTTCCGGATCTTCTATTTAGTTGGTATGTTGGTCGGAAACCTCTTTTCTGACCAAAATATTTTCGTTGGACCGAAACAACGAGATTTTCAGCAGTGGTGAATTGTGTTATTCATTAGCGATTTATAAAGAGATGTTTGGTAAAATACTAAAATTAGTTGTTTACTATCAGTAGTTAACATGTAAAAAGACTTATAAAGACATTCATATTATTATTATTATTATTATTATTATTATTATTGTTATTGTTGTTATTATTATTATTATTATTATTATTATTATTACACATAATAAATAATAATAATAATAATAATATTAATAATAATAACAACAATACAAAACAAAATTATATATAAAATAAAAATTAAATTAAAAAAAAAGTGTAGCTCTCCTTTGTAATTGATGTGGGATCAATTTTGATCCCACATCAATTATTCAAGAAGAGGAGCAACTCCTCTATATAAGAGTAGCATTGCTTCTTTTTCAAAATTAACTGCATGCCGTTTGTTGATGGGCAAGAGCTTTTTTTTTTTTTTTTTTTTTTTTTTTTTTTTTTGAAATCAAGCCTTTTTAAAGAAAAAATAAAATAAAGAAGCTAATTCACTTTCAAAAAAAAGAAAAGAAAGAAGCTAATTCATTAATCATAGGCTTAAACGTTTACAAAGATCGATGGAATGGTCAAACATTCCTTACAATCAGACATAGAAATCACTTTCCTAGAAAACTTGATTCGCAGACTGTTTCACAAATTCGAAGCTGAATTTTTTGGAGGAATTTAAAGCTTCTTTAATGATTTGGTCAAATGTACCCAAGACTGACACTGGTTGAATAGTCTTGCACACCACCTAAATATTTATTTCCATTATGCTATCCATGGACAATATCTCCATCGGGCTGAACTGCATATCATAGTTCAGATGAGTCTCTTTTTCATTGTCATGTTTGTCACCCAGGATGAGATTCACATACGCCATGACCAGTTTTATCGTTTCACGGTTTATGAAAAAGAACTCGCCAAGTAAACGAGAGGAAGAAACTCATCAAAACAACGAGAGAAAAAACACAGAAACTGCAAACAAAATTAAACCAGTAAAACAAAGCAAAAGGAAACAACAATGCGAAAATAAGGGAGTAACGACCGGTAGCGATGGAGATGGAGGGGTGGGGCAAGGCGTAACCAATGGCGAAGGTAGAGAATGGAAGAGAAGACAGTGAAGGCGGACGCTGCCTGCGGCAGAGATGGCGACAAGGGAAGATGATCGGACACCGCCTCTGATCCGCTTGCTTCACGAAGGCGACGACTGTGTAAAAATTTGAGCGGTCAAAAACCAAAGACGAGCGAAAATTAGAGAAACCCTAATATCTCAGGAACTATGAACTTAGTTAAATCAATGGTTGTTAATCGCTCTTCCATTACATGTTTGTTTGTTTGTTTTTTTTTTTTTTTAATAAATAAAATAGTATAGGGGCGTTTTATGGAAAAATTAATCTTTTCTCAAAATGCTAACATTGAATGCTACAAAATGTAGCGTTTCATTTTTCAGCGATTTGGAGTAAACTATTGCTCCAAACCGGGCCGTAATACTAGATGCACTCTGTAGTGTTGCAAATTATTCTTTCACATGAATTTTAATGTGTACTTAGCAACCAATTGTTATATCGTGCACCAGGGCGCACAATATCATCTGTTTCGTATATATATAATTATATAGTAGAATACACATAAAGTCCTAACATAATACAGATAATCTTAACATAATACATAATACGAGAAGATTTCAATTTTGGTCATATGACTACATGGGCTTTGTTAATTTCAGCATCTGACTTTCAAAAGTGTCAATTTAGTACCTTGACTATGCAATTTTTATCAATTTTTGTCACTTCGATCAAATTGGCGGCCAAATTTCGCCGAAAAATTTTAACAGTTAAAATAATGAAGATATTTTAGTCATTTCACATCTCTTTCGTTCTTCTCCGACGAATTCATCTTTTCCGGCGAATCCGAGGATGAGGTGCGCTGCGATGCTTTCAACATTATCCAAAAAGAGAAGTATTTATTCAACATAAATTTTAGCATAATGTTGATATAGAGAAGTTTTAGAATAAATAGGCACCAGCATCAGTTTTAGCATTTCGCTTTCTTCTTCGAGCAAGCCTTTTTTTTGCTGGAAAAGCTTTCAACCGGAATTTTGGCAGGAACTACGTTAGACGAGCACAAAGAGAAGTGCAGTTCGAAGATTTCTAGGTCCGCCGATATCTTAAGCTCCCCTTACACAAACATTCAGATGTTTTCAACCAGAATTTTGGCCATCTGAACACTAATAAATCGCTAGCGACGGCTTGGACGAATGAGATTAAGTATGCTTTGGAAGGTGTGCTGCTGCGACGGATTCGCTGGAAAAAATGAAGTCGCCGGAGAAGAAGGAAGAGATGTGAAATGACTAAAATACCCTCATTATTTTAACTGTTAAAAATTTTCGATGAAATTTGGCCGGCAATTTGATCGGAGTGACCAAAAGTGATAAAATTGCATAGTCAAGGTACTAAATTGACACTTTTTAAAGTCTGTTGCTGAAATTAACAAAACCCCTATAGTCATATGACCAAAATTGAAATTTTCTCTACATAATACACATAAACTCTTAACATAATACATATAAACTCTTAACATAAAACACATGAACTCTTAACATAATACACATAAATCCTTAACGTAATACACATAAACTTTTAACATAATACACATAAACTCGCATTGTGCACGATATAATTTGCCCTTAGCAACAATACAAAGTACAACTCTAATGTTTGAGTTATTTATCAAAATGTCACTGTGTTTTTTTTTCTCTCCTTACTTTAAATCTATTATATTTTTTGATGGATAGTTAAAATTGATTCTTATTTTACTATATTGGGAACACATTCTTATATGATTTTTAACTTTATTAATAAATTTTGATAGAAAATTTTCTCAATCTACTATAGTTTTGAAATTAGTAAGAAACTTTAAAAATTAATAATTATAAAGTTAGTTATACCTAAATCTTAAAAATTGATAAGCGTGAAAGAGGGTTACATTCCCAAATCCCAACCACCGGTTCAATCCTGTGACTATTCATTTGGAATGGTAAAGTCTCATTGCATTACATAGTAGTTGGCACTTTAACCACTACTATTAATCATACCATATACCCAAATTGTCAACTATACATATATAAATTCTACAACTATAATTTTTTTTAAAAAATTATATACTATTATTTAAAAATAATATTTCAATATAACTAAGATCTTAACATTGAATATTAATATTGGACATCTACTTTTGCACATCGCGCATAAAAAAGACTAATTTTGATTAATAAGATTTGATAAACATTTTTTTTTGTTTAATTTTTTGCATACATTTAGTTTTGAAATTGGCAGGATCTGCTATATCAAAATCTATAACTTACAAATAAATATTTTTGTTAAGCTTATATTATAATTTTTTTTTATTTCTTTAATCTGAATTATAATAACTAAAAATACTACCTCTACCTGTAAAAAACTTAAGTGGGTGTTATAGAGGTAAGAGCATGTGTCTAAAAAACATTAAAAATACAAACAATTTTTTTTGGAATACTACTAACCCTGTTACATATTAGTATCTCTGTCCCCACTGGGATGTGAACGCATGACCTCCCATTTGGGAGTCACACGTCATGCTACTTGACCACAAGGTTAATAGCATATGCAAACAATTTAGATACTAAAAAAGTATAAAGTTCAAGGAAATAACCACCATTCTCTCATATATATAGGAGGGTGTCAAATTACAAGAAAATATTTAAAATGTTTAGAAAAAAAAACACTGAAGTAGTATAATGGCATGGTGAACTATCTAAACTCCAACTCAATTTGGGCACCTCATTCTCCTACTACCCTAACAAATTTAAACACCCTTCCTCCATAATGTACTTTCAAGAACACAACATTTATATATATATGATATGTATATTATTGTTATCTTTGTATCAAGAGTCTAATTGAATAGAGATTCAAAGCTAAATTTATTACAGTTAAAAAAGGACAATAAATTTGTAACTGTATCCTGCTGCCATTTTGGATGATATGTCAACTTAAAACCAAAATCAAACACTTCTATCTCCACACTTTCAAACAACTTTGCTATTCTCATTCTGTTATAATATCCGAATGCCTACTCACCTGAATCTCGCGTTCCACAAAACTCACAGATTCACCCATCATTGCCAAGTTCTCGTTACGGGTCTCATCCATCTTTGCTTCCTTCTGACAACCCAAACCGTCGTTATCTAAAGGCGTCGGGTTTTTGTTCTTCCTACGCACCCGCCTAGAAGCTGTTGATGTTGAGCTATCACCGCCTTTTCTTTTATTGCCCGTGCCGAGGAATCCATACGCGAATGCCTCCAATACTTTCGCGCTTGGCCTGTTTCTAGTGCTCGGCCTCCTGCCTGTCGTGACCGGTGGCTCGTCTGGAATGGCACCGGTGTTTAAGGATTCTAATGTCTCGGAAGGTTTGGGACCCGGTATTTTATCACATTTATGTAACACATTCATAGTAAGCGATTGATCGGGCCCCATGCTAGAGTTCTCGACTGAGTGCCCAGAGCCATGACTGTTCTCACTTAGATTTCTTTCGAAAGTTTTTTCATGGTTGCATGGAGAAGAACCGCCCGAGAATGAGCTCTGAGACGGTCCAACGGCGCTTGGACAAATATCTTGGAAGCTCGAGTTATCAATTTTTTCCCTGATCAACTGGTCATTGATTAACATGGTTCCAGTATTATGGCTCGAATCTTTGCGGTCGAGAGCAGCTAAGTTAGTCATCTGATCGGGTTTCACATCTGGACTAGATTCCAAATTCATGGATGGCATAACTTGGCAGAGATTGGCACTCTTATCGCTACTGCTTTCTTCTTCTTTAACCTTCGACCCGGGATCATTAGGCAATTGGTCGTTTAAACTGCTTAATTCTTCCTTAATCATAGAATCGGGACCATTAGGGAGTTGGTTAACAGCATCATATGGTTCGATTGTATCTCGTTCCACGCTATCCGAACTACTCTCTTCGCTCAGAAGAGCGCAAGGAGCAGAAGTCAAAGGGCCGAGAGGCAAACTTCTCAGTTCCCGAACTCTAACTCTTCCTTCTCCAGAATACAAGCTCGTATCTACAACTGTGAATGTCATTGAATGCTGTTTGTAAGTCGAATTTCGGGGCTGGAGGTAAGAATGGCGTCGGGGGTTCAATGAAACCTCTCGATCCTCTTCCATCTCGGGATCCGTCAAGCCTTTCTCGTTCTGAATGCCGCCGTTTTCTCCATTTACTTCGAGCTCGAGAAGGCCGGGTTCCGAGGCAACCTTGTTCAAGACATCAGTAACCGAGTCGAAATAGTGGATTCCTTTCTCTAATCTTCTCGAGAATTTTTTAACGCCCGGGACAAGAAACACCAGAGACTGCTTTGCACCAGAATATACAACATCGCTAGGCTGCTCCGAGTGCCATCCCCGTGCTAGAAGGCGGGGCCAAACAGCTTCCCAGAAAAGATCATTGGATCGAGCTTTGCTCAGTCGAAAATCACCGGTCAAAAACTTGACAATTTCACTCGACGTGAGAGAAGAGCATGCTTTGCCAATAGGTACTTCGGCCCGCACGGGTAAAGAAGGATTAGCTTTCGTCGACTCCAAAGCAGTTCCCGTAAGATCCTTCTTTCCTTTGCCCAGGGCAACGGCTTCTATTAAATTGTTGATGCCGGCCTTGTCTTTCAGAGAGAACACGTACTCTTCAAGTGTCATCTTTCCATCTCCAAACAATTTCGAGATCTAAAACAGTCTAAATCAGTAATTGCACAGAAGAAACAAGCGATATGATGCAACAAACTAATTACACTAAAAATGGCAAATTATTCTCATGTTGATGAAATGACACGTATGCTAAAACAACCACAAACTTCAAGAAAGACCTATGCTTTATCCCACTAGATGATCAAGAAATAACAATTCGATTCCTAATTCTTGGTCTTTAGTTTACACTACTAGAGCTTCTCAGCTTTTTGATCTTTTCATGTTCTTTTTTTTTTAAAAAAGATAGCAAGAATTACAGCACTCATGAAAGGAAATGCGTTTTAGTTCTTTCTCAAGATCACAAAAGCAGACATCAACAGAATAGGCCCATCAATTTCCAAACCAAAACGCCTTTCCTTTCATGCCCAAAACAAAAAAAAAAAGGAAATATTTTGTGAAAAATAAGGACACCATAGGCTTTTCAAATTGTTTTAAAACTAATGCATATTAGATATACGTGTTTTCAAGTATAAACGTGCATTAACTCACTGGTCTGTCATGAAAATCTCTCTTTACACATACCAATGCCTATCTTACTGAAGAAACTACAAACAGATGGTTACCATCGTACATTCATGTATGGAACAATCAAATATATCAAGCGAATAGATGATTCTTCACAACTAAGATTTATGTATCGACTTTTTGGACAATCCAAAACATATGTACTTGCACTGAAATAAGGATGTCAGAAAAGCATTTAAAGAAACTATGAATAAGCACTGCACAGAGGATTATGCATAATTTCAATCATAGAAGCTATTTACAGATAGTACCTCAGTCAACATATAAAGGCATTGCTCCGAAACATGGGAAGATAAGCGTGACAAAAGCTCCTGTTGCCTCCATCCCATGAAAATCCTTTGACCATATATGCACCGCCTCCCTTTTATCTTGCGACAATCTGACCATCTTCGATAATCTCTAGACCTGTAAAACTTCCCATAGTAGTAGGACAATATATCCCCCGTCTCTTTACTCCCTATAAGCCTTTTAACAAGAGAAAGGTTTTTCCCAAAGACATACAAGCCAAGGAGGAAACTAGAATGTTCGATATCGTTCCAATCTTCATTAGGTAACCCGGGAACAAGATAGCAGCCATCCCAACGATCAACGTGGGCTTTTTGTCCCGGGAATATGGTCGAGTCACTGTTAATGCTTTCACCTGTAACCACAGAAGGAACATGTTGTTGTAGCCCCTCCGTTTTTTCTCCATTGTCAACAAAATTGCACAAAGAATCGATTTTGATCCCTCCATCAATATTGTCTCGAGTAACCTGCCCCTTGACATTGTTTTCAGATTCCACAAATCCATCTCCAATACTTGCAGACACATGATTATCAGAAACTTCCATGAGTTCACCTCTTTTGTCTTTACTTTTATCACGTATCCACATGACTGGAATAGGTAAACCCATTGGGTATGAATCCGAAGTGTCTAGTTTGATGCTGCTATTGAACGGTTCACTTGCAAGCTGCCTATAACCACATTTTTTCATAAGAGGCGGGATTTCTGCCTGATATTCAGTCCCAACTCGAGGAAACAGCTCAGGATCGCGAAAAATATAACTATAGCCAGAAGATTGCTCAGATGGGAAGCAGTCAGTAGATTTATTGATCACTTCCTCCATAATTCTTCAAATTCTACTAAGCCTATCTGCACATAATACAATTCAACATAATGCAAACTGTAAGTAATAGAGTAATCTCAAACTGAAAAGTGATCAACAGTAAGATACTAAGATATCCTTATTTAGAATGCAACAAAATATTAGTATATTACACAATAGTTAGATTTGAATAGCTGTTTCTAAAGCTTCAAATAAGTGCCTTTTATTCTGAAACAGTCAATTGCTTTGAGGTAACATAAGTAATGTGAAATTCGTAGTTAAGGTGTCTAAACACGTAAAGCTCCTAACTTTGGACTATGAAACGATCGGGTAACCAAATATGGAGTAAAACATAAACCAAAAGGCAACATTGTTGCATGACCAAATATGTACTTTTTCATGCTCTTGTAAAACCACTCACATTTGAATGTATGAACTAGGTTCCTTCTCTTGAAGCTATAAGCTAAGAATAATTTTACATTCTGAATTAGCCCTTTTAACTGAGGGAAACTAAGTTAAAAATCCCGAGTTTAAAATTCAAAAAGCTGTAATATAATCTTATCTCTAATGTGATCAAAGACTTTTTTTTTTTTCAACTTGATTTGTAAATTTTCTGAACCCTTAGCACAACAATTTACCAATAATCTTAAATCCACTTGAAGATGACACACAAAGATAAGCTCTCCCCAGTCCCCAATATTATCTCATTATTTTTTTTAAAAAAAAAATAACTATTAAAGCTGCACCCACATCCATTGTCAAACCAACACAATAAATTGTCGTAAAACAACTGAAAGAGAAAGAAATTAAGAAAACAAAACTCTCGACAGTACCAAAAACTCACACCTAAGCATATGATAAGAACAAAATAATGAAGCATTAAGGAAACAAAACCTCCAAGCATTAAGAACAACCCCGCAATCAAAATTCTCAATTAATCCCAAAAAATACATTCAATCAGAAGCACTACAAACTTGTAAAGGAAAACCAACATGGATGATACATTGTATGCTGGGCAAACAAGAAAGCAGAAATACGTGCCCGGGACGATAGACTAACAGAGGAAAAAAGAAAAGCCATACACAAACTAGAACGTGGAAGATCTAGTCGCAAAGAGCAAATGGGTTTCAATCTTTACGCTTCAATTGACCTTTCTCGTCAACCAACGGTGTATACAAACAAAAAATATCACGAAAAATAATCCATAAGAAACACAGCAAAAGCATGGAACACAAAGTACCCTTTTTTCATGCTAGAGAGAGATGGGCAAGAAGGAAAAGTTCAGACCTGTAAGCTGGGGTGTGACCTGTGGAGAAGATAACTTTGTGAAGAGAGAAAAATATTACGGTTTATGAGTGTATTGAATAATTTGCTCCTCTCTCCTTTGTATTTTGCTGTTCGTCAGAGAAGGAAGAAAGAAAGAAAGAAAGAAAGAGCGAAGAGAGACGATTTAACGCTTTGTTGGGTTGGGATTTATGAGCGTGTGTGGGAGACCACACAGGCTTTGGTGTGTGGGTTCAAAAGCTTTCACCGCTGAAATTCAGTGGTTTTTTTTTTCACTTTTTACCGCAGCTCTACTCTACTATGCTTTCATTCCCTCCTTCTTTCCTTCCTTTTCAAAGTCAAAATGGGATTAATGCTCAAATAAGTGAATATATGTAGTTGGATTATCAAAATCAACAAAAAAATTACAATTAAATTCTAAAAGGTTTAAAATTATGTAATAAACTAAAATTGACATATTTGATTGGTTATTATTTATGTAGCTGTTAATTTGTTAAAATAAAATAATTTTTTAAAATAATAGTAATAAACTTCAAATGTCGATATTCATCTCCGTCTTCGCGTCTCAAGTCAGGGTTGAAGAGTTTATCTCTGTCTCCAGTGAGAGACGAAGAACGTTTCTTCATGCGACGAAGATCAAGGCATGAGAGGGATTGTTGGGTTTGATATTTTTTTTTTAATCAAAATTAGTACCAATAACCTTGTGGTCTAGTTTATACTCCGTGCTTCAGTAGTACTAAAAAAAAATTAGTTTAAACTTTGACTTTTTTTTAATAAATTAACCATGACATCATATAATAACCTTTCAATTTTAGTTTAGTTGCATGAGCTTAGGTTGTTTAGGAAATAGGAATCCAATTATAGTTTGTTTGAGTTTGATGACTCAATGACATGTTACATGTAGTTCAGTAGCCTATTTCATCATTGTTCCTATATATATATATATATATATTCCCAATAATAACAGTTTTTTTTCCTAATTTTAATCTTCCCATAAGAAAATAAAAAGACTATTTTTTTCCTAATAATAATTGCTAAATACTATAATTCATCCCTAAGCAAAATGGGAGGTTTCATTCCTTAAAAAAAAAAAAAAAAAAAAAACCATTACTCTAATTCTTTTATTCTTTTAGCCCATTGGGATTGTGTTGGATAAAGACAACAGGTGTTAATTTGTTTTTTTTTTTTTGTTTTGAAAATTATTTCACATTATTTTTATAATAATAATTTTATAGTTTTTTAAAAATTTTGATTCCTATTCCCCTATACCAAAGAATTGAAATAGACTTTTTTTTTAAAAAAAAATCCATTACGAATACTAAGGGCATGTTTGATTTCGATTTCGATTCCTATCTTTGAACCAAAGCCACCCTTATATATCACAGATTGTTTTCAATCACATAAAATGTAATATAATGCAAGTATTATTTATTTTGTTAAAATTTTAAATTGGTCAAACTCTAAAATTTAATTTTAGACTATATAAAAGTTAATAACATGTTTTCAAAAAAAAAAAAAAAAGTTAATAACATAGAAAGTCAATTTTAGCGATTAACATAAATTTATTTAATCATTAATTATTTTTTGTTATTCTTTACTATTTGAAGTAATCATAGAGAGGTAGGAATATTTTTAACTACAATTTTGCCTATTTTGTCTGGGGCACCACGATGGGAGGGCATTAATGTCCTAAATAAAGAAAACATTTTCATTTTCCACTCTCTTTTGAGTCTTGTTATTTAGAAGCAATTATTTGGAATATAAACTTATCGGAGGTGGTTGTTTTAGGCAATAAAGAGGGTTATAAGGTGGTTTCATCAATTCTTAACCAAAGGTCAATAATTGATTATTGTTTTTAGATATGGAATAATTTTAAATTTTCAAGCCAGTTGTCCCATCTAAAAAGATGTGCCTATAATTTAACGAGGGGGGTTAGTCACTGTGTCCGACGGTACAAATCATAGGTACAAAAATAAAAAATAAAAAAAATTATAAAGTAACAGACAATGGTGTGGTTTTGGTGATGTGGAGTGTAGGGATGATCATGGTTTGGTTTGAAACTAGTCCGTTTCAATTCTGAACTAGAAAAACAAAATAAAATAGAAAAGTCTAGACTTAGTGACTAAAATAATAATTTTGATTCTTATTGAAATTTTGATAAGATACGTAAACAACTTAATCATACCCATCTTAATAAAAATAAGTGCAAGTCCAAAATTATTTTTATTTTTTTGGTTTGACTTCAAAGTTCAATTTGATATAATCATTTCTTAAAAAATTTCAGAATGAATAATTTAAAAAAAAAAAAAAGTAATTGTTGAATTTTGACTATTTAAAATAGAAAAATAAAATTAAAAAAATAAATTCAAATCCGCCACTTAGATCCTTCTTAAAAGGTTACATTTCCAGTTTATCATTTTTCAGAATCGTGAATTGACGATTCAAAACCGAATAAAATCGTATCAGAACTGAATTCCGCTCCTATCTAGTTAAGTGGTAATGGGATGAATGATAGTGAAGGAAGGTGGATGAATTTTGGGGCTAATGGTAGAATCTTAGCTAGAGAGGTTAATTTGGAGATGGGACATATAAGCGCTTTGGTTGGGAGGATGATGAAGACAACAATGATCAAATGTTGATAGATATGGATATGACTATATATATGTTATTAATGGTGTTAACGGTGGGGCTTGCAGTAGTGTAGAACGGTGCAGTGGTGATATTGATGGCAAACAATGGAGTTATAGTGTGAAGGTTGAATTAAGATGAGGCAGTGATGGTGGCAGGGAAATCAACAATTGTAGCAACAACTTCTTAAAATAGGGTTAAACTTTCAACTTTGGTAGCGGCAGTGTGAGAATTATGTCTAAAGTGGACAGATCTCTTGTGCGTATCGATATTTGGCCATATCTACTGAATCATTGAGTCATCATGATTTATATTCTCCCAAATACTCTGTCAAGTCGGGGCGTGGGGTCCTTGGAGTTAGGGATCGATTCAATTTTTTTGGTAAAATATTTAGCTTATCAACCAATTTGACCACTATTAGTTGTTTGACATAGTTAAAAAATCAATATAAGTGTAACTCCAAAGTGCTAAAATTCAAAAAGTTACTCAAAACAACTTTTTCAATTAGCTTTTTGAAAAAAAAAAAAGAAAAGAAAATATACCAAACAGCTATAAGCTAGCATCTAATTTACCAAACACCTTTTTACAATCAGCTAATTTTATTAACTAGTCATACCCTCTAACGGCTATCGGCTAATAATCATTTACAAAACAGGGTCATACACTAACATGTATCGTGTGTGTGTGTGTGTGTGTTTTTTTTTTTTTTTTTTGCATAAATTATTTGTTTGACATGTTATCTAGCAAGTAATTTAGTGAAGCAGCCAAGCAGGCACCCAACTATTTAAGCAATCTGAAACCTTTGTCCATTAACTAAAGTCAAACGTAATAAATTCACCCCTTGAAGAAAGAATTTATCTTTCTATCTTCAACAAACAATTTCATGTTCTCTCTTCCTCTTCTAAATATGCCATAAATTAAATCTAGTCTTTTTTTCTTTCTAAATTTTCATATTCATAAACATTATGTTCATATATTTTATTTGATATTACTATGTCCGTTATAAAATATTAATTAGACCACGTATTATTACGTATTGTGTTACTGTAATTTTTGTAATTTGATTATCATGTGACTTTTTTATTAGCTTATGGTAACATCATCAAATTCACACATAATTAATAAAAATAATTAATTTTATTTTTAATTTTTGAGACGATCACATCATGAAGTGAATATTATATAATGATTTTAATTAGTACGAGAGAGTAACGTTTTTCATTTGATTTTATTATTACAATCGGACCAATTTTATGATTTGTTGAAAAGATAGAAAAGAAAAAGGAAAAAAGAAAATAAAATTTTCCATTCTTATATTTATACAAAATTACAATTTTAGTTCATCAATTATTGACATGAGCGTTATTTATCTTTTACTTTTTCACGAGATGGCTATTCCGATCATTTTTATGATGTGACAATTTCAATAATTATTTTTGTTCCTCAAAGTCTCATACTAATAGAAACTTGACCGCATTTAGAATTGCAAATTACACTTTTGTAGCTATATTTGCAAACAGAATTTACTACCATCTTATTACAAATTTGAAGATCAATAATACTCACATCAATAATTGAATAACTGAAATTGTACAAATCATTATCAATTCTTTTATAAATTCTTTAAAATCAAATTTCAATTCACAACTAAAAAATAGTAAATTAATCATGCACTTGGGAATAAGCTATTAAGCTATTACATACACTTACACTTTTTAATTTTATTTTTAGTCTATGTTAACGTAATATATTCTAATTAATCTAAAATAAAAAGTGAGCAATAATTTTTATTTATTTATTTTTCTTCTTTTATAATATAGTAAAATAAAGATATGTAATAGAAGGTAGGGGATTTTCCATTTGGGGATAGATTAAAGAATTACTCCGTAGTATTTAATGCTCAGAATTTGTTTGGGTAAGTTAGTTTTGAGTGCTTATTGGTCCATCATTCATATCTTTCTCAAAACTCAAAGTTGGTCCATTATGGATAATGACATTCTTTGGAGAGGACTTTCATAACACTTTTTAGCAGCTTCCTGAAGAGTCCTCATTTAGATATATTTTTGGTAAAGACTTTTTTTTTTTTTTTTTTTTTTTTTTTTTGAGTGATATGTCTATTGCGTAGAGATCTTTTAAAATTAGTTTTTTTTTTTCTTCAAAAAGGAAAAAAAAAAATTCCAAGAGCAAGTTTTTTAAAAGAATAGTTTGTCTTAGTCCTGAATGAGTTTCATTAAACATATGCAGCTATGTTGGGCTTGATTGAAGTCCTTGGCCCAAATATGATCAGCCCAAATTAGAGGATATCAAATTGTGTAGAGTTAATATTTCTAATGGTCATTCAAGTATTAAGGTATTATCAGTTATGGTCCTATTATTAATGCCGGATTCAGAAACTTTTTTTAGTGAGGGCAAAACATAACAAAAGAGAATTTTTCAAGAAAAAAAATGAAACACTTAAAAAGTATAGCCATGCATAAATATTGTTGAATATGTGCAAAAAATAAAACACATCAAAACTTTATAAAAATATTCACAACAAAA